GCTGCCAAATGGAATTACGGCGCGGGCTCGGTGTCTCTAAGTCTTCAAAATGCTCTTAAAAAAAAAATTTTTAAAGATCTTTCAAAAAAAGACTGAAGTCTTTTTAAATAAGGCTGTCTGAAGATGCTGTAACACGTATGTACACACATGCACTGAAGTGGAGCCCTCCTGATACGTGTTTTAGATGTATTACAGAAATAATTATTACTGAGAAAAGGGGATGTCTGCTTCTTGGTGGTAGCTGGGAGGATGGAATATTAAACTCACTTAAGCTTCCTTTTTTCAACTTGCCTCTGAAAATGTGATATTTTTTTTAAAAAAAGCATTTATTTTTAAATAAATATTTGGATTTATAACTGGATGGAAAAACCTACAGACGGCAATTTTTAAGGGAGGTGAGAGAGAGCAAAATTTGAACTTTTTGATTGTTTTAGGGTTGTTAACGAAAACGTTCATCAAAAAGCGTTGTCATTTAAAATGGAATTTTGATTAAGACAACATTTTTGGAAGCTAAGCTGCTTTCATCAGCAAATTCGGAAGGAGAGATTTTTATTTTCTTTTTCCACGTTAAAATCTTTCTTACAGCACACAGGAGAGGCCTTAATGTGTTCTGGCATTCCGTTATTAAGAAGCAGCTCTACCTTTAGTAATGTAGAAAATACAATAAAAATTATTTTGCTACACTGCAATATAACATATTTGACACAAACGCAGAATATGCTGCAGTCCTGCAGCACACTAACGACATGGCATTTACAGACTGAAGCATAGAAAGTTCCATCTGAACATGAGGAAGAACTTCTTCCCTCTGAGGGCGACGGAGCACTGGAACAGGCTGCCCAGGGAGGTTGTGGAGTCTCCTTCTCTGGAGATATTCAAGACCCACCTGGACAAGGTCCTCTACAGGCTGCTGTAGGTGACCCTGCTTCGGCAGGGGGGTTGGACTGGATGACCCACAGAGGTCCCTTCCAACCCTGAACATTCTGTGATTCTGTGATTTGAAGCAAGGAAAAACAATATTTAATTGGAAATTTTTAAAATATTTGTTTGGGTTTGGAATGCACTCACGGTAGGAGTTCTGAATTTCAACCTGAT